CGGATCGTGTTCAAATCAATAGGCACGCAATGACTCTAAAGAATAATGATCACGCATCAAACACACATTCAGACTAAAGGAACCAGCTGTTTGGGAAATGAGAGAAGTAGAAAGTACAAGTATTTGAGTTCAACATGTGAGAAGTAGAAAGTACAGGTATTTGTGTTCAACATGTAAGAAGTAGAAAGTACAGGTATTGAGTTCAACATGTAAGAAGTAGAAAGTACAGGTATTTGAGTTCAACATGTAAGAAGTAGAAAGTACAAGTATTTGAGTTCAACATGTAAGAAGTAGAAAGTACAGGTATTTGAGTTCAACATGTAAGAAGTAGAAAGTACAGGTATTTGAGTTCAACATGTAAGAAGTAGAAAGTACAGGTATTTGAGTTCAACATGTAAGAAGTAGAAAGTACAGGTATTTGAGTTCAACATGTAAGAAGTAGAAAGTACAGGTATTTGTGTTTCAACATGTAAGAAGTAGAAAGTACAGGTATTTGAGTTCAACATGTAAGAAGTAGAAAGTACAGGTATTTGAGTTCAACATGTAAGAAGTAGAAAGTACAGGTATTTGAGTTCAACATGTAAGAAGTAGAAAGTACAGGTATTTGAGTTCAACATGTAAGAAGTAGAAAGTACAGGTATTAGTGTTCAACATGTAAGAAGTAGAAAGTACAGGTATTTGAGTTCAACATGTTAGAAGTAGAAAGTACAGGTATTTGTGTTCAACATGTAAGAAGTAGAAAGTACAGGTATTTGGGTTCAACATGTAAGAAGTAGAAAGTACAGATATTTGTGTTCAACATGTAAGAAGTAGAAAGTACAGGTATTTGGGTTCAACATGTAAGAAGTAGAAAGTACAGGTATTTGGGTTCAACATGTAAGAAGTAGAAAGTACAGGTATTTGTGTTCAACATGTAAGAAGTAGAAAGTACAGGTATTTGAGTTCAACATGTAAGAAGTAGAAAGTACAGGTATTTGAGTTCAACATGTAAGAAGTAGAAAGTACTGGTATTTGGGTTCAACATGTAAGAAGTAGAAAGTACAGGTATTTGAGTTCAACATGTAAGGAGTAGAAAGTACAGGTATTTGGGTTCAACATGTAAGAAGTAGAAAGTACAGGTACTTGGGTTCAACATGTAAGAAGTAGAAAGTACAGGTATTTGAGTTCAACATGTAAGGAGTAGAAAGTACAGGTATTTGTGTTCAACATGTAAGGAGTAGAAAGTACAGGTATTTGTGTTCAACATGTGAGAAGTAGAAAGTACAGGTATTTGGGTTCAACATGTAAGAAGTAGAAAGTACAGGTATTTGTGTTCAACATGTGAGAAGTAGAAAGTACAGGTATTTGGGTTCAACATGTAAGAAGTAGAAAGTACAGGTATTTGTGTTCAACATGTAAGAAGTAGAAAGTACAGGTATTTGTGTTCAACATGTAAGAAGTAGAAAGTACAGGTATTTGTGTTCAACATGTAAGAAGTAGAAAGTACAGGTATTTGTGTTCAACATGTAAGAAGTAGAAAGTACAGGTATTTGGGTTCAACATGTAAGAAGTAGAAAGTACAGGTATTTGTGTTCAACATGTAAGAAGTAGAAAGTACAGGTATTTGAGTTCAACATGTGAGAAGTAGAAAGTACAGGTATTTGAGTTCAAAATGTAAGAAGTAGAAAGTACAGGTATTTGGGTTCAACATGTAAGAAGTAGAAAGTACAGGTATTTGGGTTCAACATGTAAGAAGTAGAAAGTACAGGTATTGGGTTCAAAATGTAAGAAGTAGAAAGTACAGGTATTTGGGTTCAAAATGTAAGAAGTAGAAAGTACAGGTATTTGTGTTCAACATGTAAGAAGTAGAAAGTACAGGTATTTGAGTTCAAATGTAAGAAGTAGAAAGTACAGGTATTTGTGTTCAACATGTAAGAAGTAGAAAGTACAGGTATTTGAGTTCAACATGTGAGAAGTAGAAAGTACAGGTATTTGAGTTCAACATGTAGAAGTAGAAAGTACAGGTATTTGTGTTCAACATGTGAGAAGTAGAAAGTACAGGTAATTGTGTTCAACATGTAAGAAGTAGAAAGTACAGGTATTTGAGTTCAACATGTAAGAAGTAGAAAGTACAGGTATTTGGGTTCAACATGTAAGAAGTAGAAAGTACAGGTATTTGGGTTCAACATGTAAGAAGTAGAAAGTACAGGTATTTGAGTTCAACATGTAAGGAGTAGAAAGTACAGGTATTTGGGTTCAACATGTAAGAAGTAGAAAGTACAGGTATTTGAGTTCAACATGTGAGAAGTAGAAAGTAAAAAGTCATAAAGTACTGATACCAGACACATTTACTCAAGTACAGTAATGAAGATAATTGTACTCCACTACTTCCCTCCTCTGCACACACACTTCCCCTCCCTAACGGTGTGTTTATTGCATCAATGGGCGTCTGTCTGTAGTCGAGTTGTCGTTGGCAGGCAGGTCACCACTCACCAGACAGTGATCCACTGAGCTGCAGCAGAACCCAAACAGGAAGTGGGGGAAAGCTGTGGGTCGTCATCCCAACAGACACCTGTTTGTCCCAGAGATAATAAGGTGGGCGAGGAAACATTTATTAATACGAAAACTGAGCTGAAAATCTTAGGCACAACTTATTTTGACCCATTTGGGAGTTTCTTGAGTGTAGGACTTGCTTAATATGGCGACACACTTCATGCAATGGTCCATTTTCAAGTTATATTTAGCTAATATAACATGCAATATTGCAGACTAGTGGAAAGAAAACTAAAAATACACATTAAAATATATTTTAAACTATTTTTGTGTGTATAATTATCCTAAATTCATCAAAAGTTAGCATAAAATAATGCCTCATTTGCATATTTAAACTAAAATGTTAAACTTGTAGCCTAATTATAAGAACATAATTGCCTTAAGTAATCAACTGGGGAAGTGTCATTATATTATCTGTTAGTTTATTATTTTATTCATCTGTCTGTAGTGCAACATGTATGGGCTTTTATACTCTCTTACCATTCATCTCTAATTCAGAAGCACTTATACCCACCAAACATTTCTCCTATCTATATGCTGAAGCTTTTTAACAAAGGGGTTCATTGAAATGTCATTTAGAGCCTGATTTATATGGCGTTTTATCACAAAAACATGTGAAAAAGGGCCTTATTTTAAGACAGCTAATAGCATTTTCTGATTTATGGAGTGATAACATTCTGAAATTCCCTCTGTACAAATCGTTGACTCTTATTTGCCAACAAAACAACATATTTAAACATTTAACTTCAGAAAACTTGCAATACAAAAAAGTATTGTCTTAATATAAGTTATCAATAGGGGAAGTTTCATGGTGATATCTTTACATTTAAAAAAAATGCCCTTAACATTTATAGAGTCTCCCCTTTAAATCTAACTACGCAGTGGTCATGTCGACAAGTCAAAGCCTTTTTCCGGGTCGTGAATCAAAGTCGCATTTCTCTTACAGCTCAGTGTTTGGAAAACCCAATCCAGCTGTGCTGTCCATCAGCTCCTGGACTGTGAAATCAGATAATCTCCTGACAGGAAACCAGCAGGAGCAGCTGCTGGACTGGAAACAACTAGAAACAACTGGAGACGCAGCAGAAGAGGGACAGTGACAGCTGTAAGAGCAGGAAGACATGTTGTCTGCTAAGGGAAGGGACTCTGACTCCTACAGCTCTTTCTTTTAGCCTCTCTTAATGTTGTGATACAGCTGCACCTTCAGACCGAATTGTGTGAGAAACAGGAATGTATATATACCTTGTGCTTGCAGGAATCCCTCTATTTAGAGTGTATATCTTCATGGTTGAATGCACTCGTGAGTTGCTTTGGGTACAAGTGTCACACTTGGGAGTAGGGTAATTTCTCTCATAGATTTCTAGTTTATTGGACCCACAAAAAGCTGGATGTAAAGCCCCAGTGGCCTAATGGATAAGGCACTGGCCTCCTAAGACAGGGATTGTGGGTTTGAGTCCCATCTGGGGTGATTGACAGCAGAATATTGCATATATTGTCACTCGTGCACATATGGCCACTACCTAACCAAGCACTAGGGTTAGGGTTGGCCATATAATGGTTAAATCATGATCTGCCACATAAATGATGGCATCTGGTTGGTACAAAAGACAGTTTGCCGTTGGTTCATGGTTACACATTTCAGTGGGAAATAACAAGTGGAGGTAGTCATCCATTGGTTTCATCATTTGAGGCCTTGAGTTTGGCTGCTGTTTTGTTGGATCCAGAAGTAACAGGAGTTTGGAAGTCGGTTATTTTTCTCATAGACTGACCAACTTGACTTTATATCGCTTTACGTTGGTGCTGAATGTCTATAGAACCGGTAAAAATGCAGCATTTTGAGCCCCAGTGGCCTAATGGATAAGGCACTGGCCTCCTAAGCCAGGGATTGTGGGTTCAAGTCCCATCTGGGGTGGTTGACAGCTGGGCCTGTAACCAAGAGGTTGTAGGCTTCATATTAGTGTTTGAGAAGAGTAAGAGGTTAGATGTTAACTATGTAAATGACCGGTTGGAGTCAAACTAGAACTACAACAGAACTCAATTCAGTGCAAACTCTATTGAGAGAAAACCAAATGTGAAAAGGTGTCCCCTCACCTCATCTCTTGTTCTGCCACTTACAGTTCAAAAGCAGTGAGTTTGGTATTTTGGCTGTGGTTGTGTCGGAGGCAGAACTGAGACAAGAGGTCGGAAGATAACATAGGCCATTGTTACAGTATCTCATTTAAAACCACATTCTGTCTTTCTTATGTTTAAAAATGTGGTGTTTTAAGCCCCAGTGGTCTAATGGATGAGGCACTGGCCTCCTAAGCCAGGGATTGTGGGTTCGGGTCCCATCTGGGGTGATTGACAGCAGAACCAGCTACCTTTAATATGTTCTGTTATTAATGTAGAGCCTATATTATTTAAAAACAGACACAATATCTCTGGCAATGAAGAACCTTAGCTCAAATGGTAGCGAATCACATACTGAAATGTCATTAGTGTGACTTTTTATTGGAGGTTTCAAATGTCATGCCTCAAACAGAAAAGACTCAAAACACTGAATCTTTGTCGATCATATAAAAAAAATCCTTGAAAATAAACAAATGTAACTGTATATTAATGCACAATACAACAGTTACTGTTATCTGCATTTTCCTTCAGAATTAAATGATAAAACCGGTCAACAAAGCAGCTACTGTTCTGTCCTGTGACGTTTTGGTCCATATCTAAAGTTCTCTGCAGGGAGTTTCCTCGTCTTCAAGGCCTGCTGAGTGTTGTGTAGACCGGCTGCTCCCAGACTGATGGAGGAGGACTGTGTGGAGGTGGTGCCAAGGCCAAGCTGTTGATAAGAGGTGAAACATAAGGCCTTCGGGAGGAGTGGAAGTACGGGTACTGATACAGACCGGCCGCGGGGTATCCGGAGAAAGCACTGCTGTAGAAACCGGAGCCCTGGAGGTCACTGTAGTCAGATTGGTGGGTGTTGGAGGATGAGCCTGAACTAAAGGACGTGTAATCAGATTGTGGAGGAGTGGAGGAACTGCTGTAGTGATCTGGACTCATCTGCTCAGTTTTTATCTGAGGTTTGGTGTCCTCGTGGAGCCTGGGGGTTTCACGACATATTAAAGAGGATGCAGTCCCACTTTTTGGCGTCCTGGCAGGGTTGTGAGGGTGGAGGCTGGGCAGGAGGAAGGTGTTGTGTCCGTGGGTGGTGCTATCTGTCGGGGTGAGGAGAGTGGAGCCGTTGGGAGGGAGGTACTGGTCGAACTCATTGACGTCGAAGGCCTCGATGGTGCTGATGACGTCGGGGCTGAGCTCGGAGATGTCCACGATACTGAAGTCGATGTTCTGACGGCCCCCTGTGGTGGAGGTAGAGGTGTCTGCAGGACGCTGACCCTCGTGTTTGTTCCCCATGTGGAGGTCAGTTTTTGGAGTAGTTGGAGGCGTTGGAGGTCCGTGAGACTGACCTGGCAAAACCAAGGATTCACCAATTAATTTACATGCTCAAGCAATAAAGGCAACTGTGGCGTAAGCGGTAAAGAAGCTTCTACCAATCAGAGAATTCCACATGTTAAAGTGTCCAAGGGCAAAATACTTATGCTGCGTTCACACCGGATGTGATGCGAATATTCGCTTCGCTCTAATCGCTCTTATCGCTTCACTCTAATCGCTCGAGTTTCACCGCGGCTGTCAGCTGTGTTTACTCGCATCATTCAAACAAGACACGCTGGCCAGGAGGCTACAACTACAACAAAATGAACATATTTGACCGTGATTAAATTGTAATACACGTTTCAAAATGATGCCGAAGTAACAACATACTGATACCGGTTAGTAAAAACCATGAATTAATGCTTTGACAAGTCTGCAGACAGACGGCAGGCGAAAAACCCTTTTAAAATGCGTGTTTTCTGAATGGAGATCGGCTAAGCTAACGCAGTATATGCTCCGACCGTCCACACTCACAACAACGGCCTACAGACATAAATAAACCAGCGACTGTATTCTCCATGACACAGGCAGTCTGTGGTTTGTACTTGTGTCTAGTTTCTGAACAGATATGAGGAGCTGTGAGCTCTGAGTGCTAAGAGCTAACGGCTGATGTTTTGGTGTTGTGGTTCTACGTCAGTGACGGCAGGCTGAGATCCTCACCGCTGATTGGCTACCGCGAGATCGCGTCACGGAAATTTGACGCTCGAGTTGAAAAAATTGAACTTGAGCGGTTGTCGCGGGCCCCTCCAATCGCCTCAATCGCGCCGCGACATTCGCATCAACCGCCTCATGCTCGCCGTCGGAGCGAATTCGCGTCTGTCCGCATCTCTGCATTGACTTTACATGTAATCGCGACGCCCCCAAACATCGCATCGCCTCCGGTGTGAACGCAGCATAAACCTCAAATTTATCCCATTGACATGTGGATGCTATTGAAGTGTTTATAAGTTGAGCCACAATGGTTTTGATCAATTATTCCAAGGAAGTCAAACATGCAACCTGATGGCTAACCACTACCAACCACTTGCATGGAAAACAGAGAACAGAAATTAATTGTTGGCAGGTTTAAAGATGGTTTGTTTTAGAAGAAGCTAACAGTTTAGCTACTTATCTCAAAATGTTCATCATCTGTTTTTGATTAGTCAATTGACACAAATTAATATGCACCTAATTTGATAATAGAGTATTTTGTATAAGTATTTTTTTGTGCAAAAATGTTCTCTTTTTTATTATTATTATACCAAATTAAAGTGAATGCCTTTGGGTTTTGGACTGCAAAAAAAATACTTTAAAAGACATCAGCTTGGACTTTGAGAAACTGGAATGGACATTTTTCACTGCTTTCTGACATTTTATTGACCAAGTAACATAAATGTAATTGCGACCTGCCCTAAAAGGTGTAAAGGTGGTATCTCACCTGTTTTGTCAGTATGGTATTGATGGTACTCGTCTCCTGGTTCTGTCTTATACGGGCCCTGCTGCTGATTCTGCAGGACAAGTCCAGGTCTACCGTCCCCCTGACCCGGTTTGGTGCTCTTGCGTCTCCGAGGCTGGTACTTGTAGTCCGGATAATCTTTCTTGTGCTGCATCCTCAGCCTCTCAGCCTCCTGAACGAAGGGACGCTTCTCTGTTTCAGAGAGGAGTCTGAGGACGACAGGAGGAAGATGTTGGGTTATTCAAGGGCCTTTAAATTCATGCAAGTACAACAAGTCTACAAGGCTTGTCTAATGTCCAAAATACACACATTTTGACTTTTCTTCTGTACTCTCACTGTTGTAAAAACGTTTAAGCATTCTCTAGAATACCGCCAGGAAATGAGAAATGAGAAGGACTGCTTATTCACATTGTGCACGATTTACTGCTCTATAATTCAAAATATTGTTATTTGTATTCCCTGACAGCTGGATACATAATGAGCTAGTATGATGCACAGTTATATATTAAACTATCCAACAGCATATAAGGCAGAGAATGAGTCCCACTTTCACGAGAAAATGCTTCTTGAAAAAAATCAAACAATATATAACTAAAACACACATCCTCATTAAAAGAAGGATACTGTTACATGGTATAGGTTTTCAGTGCAAACCATGTTTTTGCACTGGACATGCAGAACAACACACACACTATCTGGTATTACCTTTTTGTAATGCATCACTTTTTGCTCGTAGGTTACTTTCCCACCAATCAGAAGAGTTGTCACAGTTGTCACAATTCTTATTTTGGATCAAATCCACTGAGGAGAGAACTGTGGTTATGTCTAAAGAACTGTGGTGGTCTACAGTCAGTTGCATAGCTTGTTAACTTGTCATTAGTTAAAGTTGAGACCCTCTATTGAATCTCCCACTGTAGGAGCCGCATTTAAGTTCATTTTGTTTTTGATTTATTTGGAACCTTTATTAATGCATTTTTCTGTTTCAGTGAGAGGTGCGCTTTGCTCAGGTGAAGGGGGCGGGGCTAAGGCTTCACGTTGGAGGTGCGGTGTGTGACGGGAGAGCAGCAGGCAGCAGCAATACCGTCATTGACACGCAGACGCAACCTTATACTTAGTCAAATACAGATTATTAGGATCTACTGTTTAAGTTTATGTTAAATATTGTTTTCGTATTTTGTTTATGTTTTGCTGGAAATAAACAATGTCTAGTACTCTATTTTGTAAAACAAAGGTTTCTATTGTACCAGACAGCCAGTCCAATCTGTAATAAACATCAGTCCTAATTTAACTATGTATTATAAGTGCAAACCATGTTTTCTTCCACATGCAGGAAAGAACAAAACCAACACACCCTCTCCCTATAGGCTACTACTCTTTTGCAAGTTCTCTTCAATCTTTTTGTATTTATTCAACATGTCACACATTAATAGAGATTATTATGCTTAATCACGTCAATGTACTGTTGGGTTTAAAGTCGTTAAATCAGAGGAATTGTCATATTTTCAAAAAACACTTGGGTACACTAACTGTGGGGGTTCCGACTTTGCATTCAATACTGACTGTCCAACTGGAGAATAATGTATCTTCACTACCCACCTCCACAGTTTGCCCAGCGTCTTGCTGAGCTCCGCGTTGTGCAGGTGAGGATATTGATCCGCCAGCTTCCTCCTCGCGGCCTGAGCCCAAACCATGAAGGCGTTCATCGGCCGCTTCACGTGAGGCTGGCTCTTCAGCGCGCGCTCCCCCATAGCCGGCACGGGCAGCAGAGACCAGTCGTATCCCTTCAGCACCTGCGACACCGCGTCACGGATGCACGCGGGGAAGCGATCAGGCTTCACGCTGCTCTCCGGTTCGTGCGTAATTTTGCGCGCTGGCTCTGGTGCCTCTGACCCAGCTGGGGAGGTTGGGGACTCTGAATCTGATCCATGCTTGGATAAAGGGCTGTCGCTGCCTGCTGGACTGCGAGGAATATCTGTCAATGACTTCTCTTTTGTCATATTGGCGCGTAAAAAGTTGCCAAATTGTCCAATTCCAACTATCCAAGTGCGTAAATGCGCACGGCTCAGTCGGAAGACTGTTTCACCCCGAAATCAGGTACAATTCCAATGTTCTTGTCTTGAATTATTTATTTCTACGTCCTCTGACAGAGCTAGGCAAAGTTGAATGAGTTTCCTTTTTAGCACTTTAGCTCTTCATACTCGTTTCTCTCCGCCCCCTCGAGTCCTATTGGCTTTGGGAAAGTTTTACAGGATCAGTTCCTCCCAGTTTGGCACGAAGCAGGAGGAGGCAGTTAATGTTGACAGACGATATAACATTCAAATTCAAAACCAAATGTTATGATGATTCAGATAGTAGCAGATGAGTTAAATATTATTTTAAAGTCAATATTATATTGGGTTTTGCTATTCCTTTGTATTTTAGGAAAGTATATCCTACTTTTATTAATGTCAATTCCCTCGATCTTATAACATTCATATTCTACTTACTCGTTAAGATAAGTTACTGTTAATACAGTAATACTATTCCAATAATATGAAACTAACAAAGGGTCATTCACTAATGAATGTTCTTGACATTTTTACATTACATGTTAGACGCTTTTATCCAAAGCGACTGACATACTCAATACTGTGGAGAATCCCCACAGGAGCAATTTGGGGTGAAGTGTCTCAGGGACACAACGACATGCTGACTGCAGTGGGGTTTGAACATGTGCTCCCCTGATCCGAACACCAACGCACTAACCCACTGCACCACACGCCTCCCTAAACCCATCTTTTATTTCATGTTCGTATCTGCTATTTATCTAATCTAAAAAACAACAACAGTAATGAGTTTATTTTAAGGACATTTTATTCAAAACGCATGACAAGGAAGGATAGTGAGGAAAGTGCTTTAACAATATTAATAAAACAAACAAATATACACTGTATGTTTTATATAATTTACTTAATTATTATAACATGTAACATAATTATAATTTCTTCCTAAAATAAATATAAATATAATGAATATTTTCTATTTATTCTATATTTTATTGTATTCTATTATTATTAAAATTGTGATATATTTTTCATTATTTTCTACTTTATTTTATCCTATTATTGTTATTTTTTAAATTGATTTATTATTATTTTAATACCACAAATAATACAAACAAAAAATAATAATAGAAAAATCCTGTTTACGCACTTCCGCGTCTGTTACGTCACGTGACCGTAGAGCCCCTCAACATGGCGGCCACCGGTGACAGTTCTGGTAGTTCTGTGAGGAAGCGACATGTGGAGGGCAGAAACCCGGAGCCTGAGAGGGAGGAAAGCGGGGAGAAACATGGAGATGAACCGGGAGAAGAACCGGAGAAAGACCGGAGACCACAGAGCCTACATCCGGGGACTTTCTGGCTCACACGTGTTGTGCTGCTGCGCTCTGTCGCCTTTATTTACTGTAAGCACACTGACATTTACTCCACTAAAACCTGTCATTGTTCACTTTAAAGGCAGATAATTAGCTTTAAACAACAGTAATGACTAGTAGGTTTGCTAGTCCACGTTTGACATGATAGCTCTCTTGTTTACTTTGTCTTTTTAGTCTTTTAGTGCTGAAATTGTGACTTGCTGTCGGTTTAAGCTACAAAACCATAGGATAAAACCAGTGAGTTCATTTATACTTTATTTGAGTTGGTGTAGCTGTCACTGCCTTTGCCCAGGCTCTCCAACAACTCTCAACCATTTAATTTGTTGTTAAATATCTCCTAATTTGGTTTAAATGTTTTAATATTTTAGTGGCTGTTGTCTGTCTGGCACAAGTACTATTTATTTTACCCCCTGTGTGTGTATATATAGCATAGTTGACATTCATATTCACATCCAGGCATACATTTGATTATGTTTTAAATCTATATGTATTTGTAATGGCTTATTTTTGTTGGTCTAATGGGATATGATCCTATGCTCATGTTCTGCAATAACAGTGCACCATTATCATCCTTAAAACACATCTTATTTTGGTCTTAAACTTAAAATAACTTCATGAAACTTGTGCTGAGAAATACTTCTGTCCAGCACCAGTATTGCCTGTGGTTATTAAGCGTTACCAGTGATGCTAATCATTAGCGTTTGCCATTTATATTGATATTGTGATATCAAGATACAGTAGTGATACCTCCATGTCAAAGTCCTGCATTACATTTTTATATAACAAGAAGTCCAGAACTGTTGTTAATTAAACATTAGTTTACTCACATCACCTCCTAATTTATGTCATGGAATAAAAAGACACCTGAGAACTTGCAAGCATTCACGAGACCTACGAAAATCCTGTAGCTCTATTCCAAAAGCTTTTTGAGTTATGAGCTAACGTTTGGAAGTTTGTGTATTCCAGCCTCTGGATTTGGATTTAATATATCATATTTAAATTGTACTTGAATGCAGTTAACCCCGTTTTAACTGTGTTATCTACATGTCCTATATATATATATATATATATATATATATATATATATATATATGTTGCACTGTTGGAGGAGCCTGTGACCTCAGTTCTTCATTGCCATATCTACACAGTAGCTAATGTACAAATCAAAGTCAACTTTATTGTCAATCTTTCAGTTTGTGTGTACAGACAGAGTATGAGTTTATATCCAATATCTGGCAGCTAAATGTGAATGTAATGACTTTAAAGAGTCATTTCCCACTTGAAGCAGTAAAAATGTGCAAATTGTAGAATATAAAACAATACATATGTAAAAATGGGGATATTATTACACCTTATTCAGTGGTACATCCTATATACAGAGACATGTATACATATGCACACATAAAGACATGAATAAAAGCACAACAATCAATATATAAATAACAGTCACTTCAATATCAATACAAGTAATTAGTAAGTAATGACAATAATAGCCTTGAATCTTGAGTACTTGTGTCATGATTGTGCCTTTTCGTCTCGCCTCTTTTCTGCAGTGGTGGCATTCAGCGTTGCCTTCAACCAGAACAAGCAGCTGATTGGAGAGCGCGGCCTGATGCCCTGCAGGAGCTACCTGAGCAGCGTGAAGAAGTACGTGGGGGGGAAGATCGGAATGGCCGCCTTCGCCTACACCCCCTCCCTCCTCTGGCTGCTGGACTGGAGCGAGATGGACGCCAACCTGGACGCCCTCGCTGTGGCGGGGATGGCTCTGTCTGCCGTCGTCCTGGTTACCGGGACGGCCAACATGGTGATCATGGCCTCCCTGTGGGTGCTGTACCACTCTCTGGTCAGCGTGGGACAGCTGTGGTGAGTGTGAGATATACACACAGACATGTATATACTTGACTGGTTTTGCAAGTGTGATATGTAGGATTTGAGATGTTATAGGGATTTATGATTTCAAAACATTCATTTTTTTTTTATCTGTACCAAGGAAGGATATTTGATTTAATCTGTAGAATAGCGTTTGTACGCCTGGACTTAATGCAGCTCTACAATAATCGTTTTTAATACAATTTAAATTCATTTTGTTGCTTTAGTACACACAGTAGGGATGATCAAGTAATGATTATCTGAATTATCATAATATATTAAATTAAAATCATATTTTTTTAACTGCTTACTATGCTTAAACTGTGCGCTTTTATTCCCTTATTTTATATATTGTGTTCTAACACTGCACTAATACAGAGCAATTTCACCCAACGTGGCAGTTTTTTCCCGCTCTTTTAAGCATTTTAGTCTATTTTGCATAATTATTTAGGTTTTATTGACCGTAATTCTGTTCTCTTTAACATCGTTTCCAACCACAGGAGATAGCTAACACGCTAACTGCCTAGCATCAAAAATATAATATAAAAGGTGGCATATTCCATCTATTTATTTTAAATCCTTTAGTCTTATTTCTGCATCAATTTGATATACTGAGGTTTCCTTTATGTTTTCTCCTCTCTCTTTCCAGGTACTCCTTCGGTAAGTAAACACCATCTCTGTTTTTATTATGAGCATTGAGATCTGAGTAAGTAGGCTTTAAAGAATCAAAACATAATTATCTGCCCCACGCAGTATCATAGAAATATCCTTTGCATTACTTGATTATATTCTAGTGTGATTATATATATGTATTGAATGTCTCATGTATAAGTGCCTCTGATGGTTTCAGGGTGGGAGAGTCAGCTGTTGGAGACGGGCTTCCTGTCGATCTTCTTGTGTCCGCTGTGGACGCTTTCCCAGGTTCCCCCGCGCTGCCCCCCCTCCCTCATCAGCATCTGGACCTTCAGGTGGCTCATCGTCCGCATCATGCTGGGAGCTGTGAGTCAAACACTTTTAAATATAATACATATCAGGGTTAGCTGCATCTCAAACCACAGCAACGGGAGGTTTAACACTAAAGTCACCACTGCATATATATAATGCACCATGAATGCAGAAATATCAGCTTACACTATACAGAAAGTGCTTCTAATGTTTGTCCACAGGCATTTAGGTAGGTGGGCATTTGTATATGTATTTTTCTGGAAAACCCAAATGCCAGTAAATATACGTGTCCCAAAAAACTCTTTAAATGGAACTAAAACATAGTGGAATCACTTTACCTTTAAGTAACGAAACAAATGTTAAATCCAGTTAATAAGCCACTCCCAAAATGTTATTTCTTACACAATTAGTTGCCTTTTATTGTGAAAAAAACGTAATATCTTTGGTTTTCTGCTTAAAATACAAGCTTCGTATTTGAAGGGCTGGCAGACACTTTACGGTACGTCCACACGGCAGCGTCGCGTGCTTCAACGGAGACGCTTCCCATTCACTTTGAATGGGGAGACGTCAGGCTTTGCCGAACTGCTTTGTGGTTCCGTCGCTTTGCCTCCGTTGCTCGCTTCGAAAGTTGAGCAAAGTTCAACTTTTCAAGCGTCGACGGAAGCGCCAGCCAATCAAATCATATGCCAGTACAAGCTCTAGCCTATCAAACCGTGTGTCCGGGGCGGGAGATTAATGTGATTGGTTGTTGGTCACACACCAGACACGCCCACCGGCAAGCTTCAACGCGGTGCTGCCGTGTGGACGTTACGTTACAGATAATGCATATCAGGGTTAGCTGCATATCGAACCAAAGAAACGGGAGAGTTAACACTAAAATCACAACTGCACCATTTGGATCGTAGGCATTTGTTTAT